GACTTTGCATCATCACCAGAGGGAACAACGGTGTTCACCAGCTGTGTCAGGTAGTGACTTGAAAACCTGCTCTGCTCGCAATACACTGCTTTGGCTGACAACAATGATGAACTGTCCATCAGTCCTCAAGGCTGAAGGACAGACACACGGATGGAGACCCGGAATTCCAGCTATTTTGTGTTTTGGGGTTTTCTGGAGAAATTATCTGTTATGATTTTAGATGTAATACTCTGTATTTCCCACTGTGAACAATTTTGGGTTTTCTTTTTTCTTCTTTAATTTGTCAGCTTTAAACAAAAAGAAAACTAATCAGTCCAGCACTAGCACCACCAGAAGACATCCTGACAAACAGCAGACCCCCAGATTCCTCTCCACACAAACATCAAGCAAGGGCAAAGCTACTGAGGAACATCCTGAGGAGGGGAGCTGATCGCTTAGCCACACGAGGTAGACCCCTTTGCTTCTCAGTCACCTCCAAACAACACGTCCCTTTTCCTCCTCCAAGAGTCCGAGTCACACAACTCAAACATGGGTCTACTCATCGCACAATGAGTTTGTGCCTGGCCTCGTAACAGACTGTCCCTTATTTTAGATGTGTGGAAAGTGCATGTTTGGTCACAAACACCCTGCGTCCTCCAGGTAAACAAATGCAGCCACTCCCCAAAACACATCATATGCTTCTGATCAACTCCTGTGATGGACACATAAGCAGCCTGCCACAAGATCCAACCTGCACATTCACTGTTAGCACAAGACTAGAGACCTGTCCATCCTCTTTTAGGCGATACGTGCGTTTTAGCCATGAGAGAGAAATATTTCTGGTCATACCATGGCAAAGATGCCACAACGTCATTCAGAAAGAGTGGCAGGGCCAGAGGAACTCATTAGGCACGCTGAATTTTGTGTGCAGATCACAGGATGAACTCTCAACCAAGAATACTGTATAATAGTTTTCCTCAGGCAACTTCTCTGAACAAAAATTAATGACAATTATGAAGTTAAACTAATGATACATCTATACCGCAGCTACTTCTTCATAGAGACTCAGATGGTTTTGTACAAAACAATTCAACAGCAGAATCAGTCTGGACAAGGCACAGGATTTCAGCATAGGCCTATTTGTCTCAATTCTCAGAGCTTATATTCGCATGTTGAAAGCTAACTTGAGTAGTTAACGCTGTTTTTGTGGACTTAGTTCAAAACAATTGCTCAATTCTTGCTATTTACTTTTTCAAAATATGGAGATCTAGAGCAGTGAATTAATTGCTGCGAATTTGCTATTCTAAAATAATTTCAAAATTTGACTGCAACTAAATCAAACTATTGTACATATGTATATATAGTATCTGTTCTAAATATGAACAAGAAAACTCACTTAAGAACATAGATCTATTATAAAGTGAACACTGTTTACTTATTTTAATAAAAAATAAAATCAAATGGTAAATTAATTATTCTTCTAAAAAACTTCTTCAAGAATAATATCTTTCCTTTTGGAATAATTAACGTACACAGAGAAATGAGGTTAGTTTATTCCACCCTGCAAGATAATAATTAGAACACAAGGACCACTTAAGGAAGGAGAAGCTCAAGCCTAATACCGCTGGAATGAGTCTTCTGCCTGGGCATTTGATGTGAGGAATCTTCACAAGTAAAAAGCACACAGCCACTTAGAGATACATTCTCTCTGCAATTTATTTCAGGAAATAGAACTTTGCTAGTTACACCTGCTGAGCTATAAGATGTTCTGCCAGTAAGCAGTTTACATTTAGGGATGCTACATTTCAGCCAAGAAATAAGCTTTGCAACCCAGAAATCCTGTGCCAGAGAGAGCTTATCATGTTTCCCTGCCCTGAATGTTCTTGATTTTGATGATTTTTTTGACCTCCATAAATATTGAAAATTTTCCTCTGTTGGTTTTGCCAAACTGACTAAAAGCGAAGAGAGTTTAAAAAATAAAAAATAAAGACTAGCTGTAAAGTACAAGTGTGGAAGAGAGTCCATTTCTATCTTAAAGAAAACAATGCATTTCTCACCATTGTGCAAACACCTCAATGAAACAGACATTAGCATTTCCTCAGTTTTGGGTTAAACTCTGCAATTTCCAGTGCACCAAAACTCCAAATCTTCATTTGATTAAGGTCAGAAGTTGTTGGTCACCACATATCAAAACAATTCTAGTTTCTTACAGGGAATTAGACCACTTTTCACAGTGGATCAGATTCTTCTCTTACATTTAAGCCAATTCCTACTCCTCCTCCACCAAACAGTCATTTCTCTTGCAATGTTACAGACAACAGCCCACAAGGAAAAAAACTCTGGACCTGATTAAAGAACAAGGAGAGTTAATACAAGTGCTTATTTCATAACTACTACCAAAAAAAATGTATGAAATCTCAAGCACCCCAGTAGATAGATTATGAGCTGAAGCAAGTAGAATCATTTTTACATCCTTTATATTAACTTCCTCAGAAGTGCCTTCACAAGAACAGTGCCATAAAAATTCAAATTAACGGTAATTTCTCTGTGAACAGGAAGTCTGCACTTAATATTGGTAATTTACAACAGATATCTTGTAAATCTTTCACAGCATTCTACAACTTTAAGGTAGCATTAAAAGCACATTTCTAAGCAGTTTGAAGTGTAATCCATGAGGAGATGGCTTATCTAAAAAGCCACCTGCATGCTGCAATATAAATTATTATGCTGAGAAAGGAGTCCATAGAATATTTTAAGAGGCTTTTCTTTAATAGTGTTTACAAAACTATTTTTTAAAGTATCCATCAGCCAACTTCCCTACCCTCAACTAGTGAATCACCCTCTGCTAGCCTTAGAGGGGGGAAAAAAAAAAAAATCTCCAGATATTTGCCTGTTGAACAGCGGTTTAACTCAATCTCTGCCTTCCATATAGCTCTTCCCATTTTTCTCATACGTTTCTGTCCCGTTACAGATTTTTCTCATTCTGTTCATCCTTACAGAGAGTCACCTTCTCCATACCAGCTGCCAGTTTCCAAATCATTAATATAGCCAGAAAACAGTAGCAGGAACACTAGTTACTCCAGGAAACTGCACTAAAAGCAGTTAAGCTTTCTAGCATCACACAGCTGGTCGTGTCAAACCAGTATAACTGATATACTGGGTGAGCCTGGCAACAGGAGATTCCCTGGGAGTACACCACATGTTCAAAGACATTCAATTTAAAGTGTTTTAACACAGCATTGCTCAGCAGCTGAGTTGCCGTAATTTACTGTGTATGGACTCGAGCGACCCAGTGGCAAGATAACATGGTGGCTTAACACTTTTTACCTTACTATTGGGAGCAGTTAAGAACACATGCACAGGCAGCATTTATTGTCTATGAGAGACCATTAAGGCACTGTAATTGACCTTATTTGAGTTAAGGCTCCTATTCAAAATTTTAAGTGGAAAATTGTTAAAGAATTCCCTTAAAGAAACATCTGATTGCCCCTCTCATCTGTGTAAATTGCCAGCCTGGGCGTTGACATGATACATCCTTGGCTGTTGTAGAGCCTCATATTGGGATCTCTGTATGTGCTATGCATGTGTAGCACCACAAAGCATCCTCTCACGTATGCCTGCAAAATGTCAAGAGCAGCTTGGAAATCACTGCACATCCTGGTCCACCCCTGCTTGGGCACTGACAGCATCTAACCTGTAATGAAACACTGTCAAAAGACTGTTCCTTAAAGGATAAATTTTATCACAAGTCTAAGATGAAATTCTGGTCTTGCTGTGGTCACTGGGAATTTTACAACAGACTCGAAGGCAGCAAAATTTCACTGCTATTTTTTAAATAAATAAAAAAAATACAGAGGACATCTGTATTTAAGCACAAAAAAAAGAAATGCTTTTAATTGAATATGGCTCAAAATGCAGCATCTGCCAAAAACCCCAATATTGGGCATCAGAGGAAGGGTACTGAGAACAAGGCAGTCAGTCATCTTGCCAGCATATAGAGCTGTGGCACACCCGCATGCTGAGCGCCACATGGAACTTACTCTCCGCATCTGAAGGTCACAGCAGGGTGACTAACTTAGCTACTCCTGAGAGAGCAACTGCTTTACAAGGAGACACTAGAAAGGCAGGGACTCTTCAGTTTAAGGAGATGGCAGCTGCAGGGGGATCTGACTGATGCCTACAAAACTGTGAAGGCAGTGGATACCGTGAATGCAGAACAGTTCTTCCAAAAATCCTGCAATACTAGGCATAGGGAAGACTTGGCAAAATTAGCAGATCAGTTTAAAATCAATGAAGGGCAGCACTACTTTGCACAGAGTACTGTGAATATCTGGAATTTGTCAGCAGAAAGTTGTGAAGACAGACAGGACCAGCACATTCAGGAAGGAACTCCACAAATTCATAGACAACAAGTTGACAGATACCAAATGAAATAAGCAGGGACACACTCTCCAACGTCCCTAATCCAACAATTTTAGATACTGGTGGAATATTAGGGAAAAGTGTGGCAAACAGTCATCTGGCTTGCATTAAATTCCTAAATTGCATTTCCGTGTAGATCCAGGCACATTAATGAGTTAGATGGTCCACTGGTCTGCTCAAGTTGGACACTTAAGTTCTTAGGCATACTGTTACGAGCAACAAAATCCTTAATGTTTTTTCCTTCGGAAATACGGACCTTACGAGGAATTTTGACCAAATGCAACCTGGCTTACACAGGTCAATAGGAGT